TTTTTCATCACATATTTCATTTCAACCATCACTATTTCCATTTCATAGCTCAAAAACAAGTGCATAAAAATGAAAATGGAAATTTCATCCACATGCATTTTGCATTGCATTTCACATTTTTGAAAAAAAAAAAAAAAGAGAAAAAGAGGTTCTTCCAAGATAAATTTATGAAAAATCCATCTTTTAGACATCAAAATAATTTGAGCATATGATTTTGGAGCATCACATCATCCATTTTCTCCAAGTGTCACACCATTCACTTTTTCTTCAAGCTTCATGACATTTGCTTTCTTTTCAAAGGAATGATATTTCCTATGAATGCCAATTTAATGGGTTGCAATAGTGAATCGCCAGCTTCTCTTTTGAAATTTGCTTGGCATACTTAATGAAAGAAAAATCATGTTTTAGGATACAATTTCACACACATTACCACTTGTCAGCATATTTATATTCTTGCATCCTTTTATCTCTCATTTCCCATCCATGTTTATTTCTTTTCTTGCATTCCCAAAAATGCATGCTTTAGGATACAACTCCACACACATTATCACTTTAGAGCATATTCATGTTCTTTCATCCTTCATCTGTTGTTTAGCATCCATGTTTATTTCTTTTCTTGCATTCCCATAATCTTGTTTGATTCTCTGCCTTCAACAATTGAAATATGGATTCATACATAGTCAAGTGCGAATCTTTGTCAGTCAAGACACTTTTGAAATATTCATCTGTGGAGAAAGCTTTGACCAACAGAGGATTGAGGAGATCTTTAACTGCAAGCATTTTTCTCCATCATGGACAATTGCCAAGTCCAAAGGGCAAGCTTAGAAGGACAAGAACCAAGAGCAACCTCGAAGATCAAAAGCTCAAGCACATCGCACTTTATATGGTTCTAGCAATCGAGGGATTCTCCAAGGAAAGGAATGCAACTACTCATTGAACAATCATACTTTGAGAGATCTAGGAGTCAGATTTTGCTAGGAACTTGAATGCTACCATGTTGATGTACTTAGTGTGATGTACTAGGCTTTTACTTTGTAATGAATGACCATCTTTGTAATGCATGTTGAGCTACTTGTGAATGTCTTCTATGCAGCCCTTGGAGTCTATGGAAATCTCAAAGGGTTCAAAGATATTTTGCTTCATCCGAGGCTCCTCAAGGATTGGAAATCGACAATGTGTGAATCCATATAACAATTGTTGAAGCACTAAGTCATGCAAAATTATGGGATGACTTCTAACATTATTTTGACTTTGTTTATTTTTTTACTTTTTGTTTGTAGGTAGACTACTTCAAAAAGAAAGAAGAAAACAAAAAAATCAGGCATAATAGTCTCCCTCTGTTTTCTCACTCTTTGGAGCAATGCATCATCCATCTAGAAGGCAACCTTCAACATACTCTTATAAGCTCACCAAGATATGATGTTGAAGTGGAGACATGTGGATCTAGATTCAATGAATGATGGGGCAAATCTAGGACATGGGGAAATTTGAGTATTATTGCTCTTAAGGATGAACCATTACTTCTGCCTTGGGGGCACTTTGACCAATTGGACAGTCAAGCTTTTCTCTGCTTCATTCATCCATGAGTAGGATAAGCCAGCTTTCTAGTAGCTCAGCTTGTGGCTACATGAAAGGAGGGAATAACAAGCTCTTTTATATTCTCTGAAATATTTGCTATCATGCTAATTAGTTTTCCCAGTCTTTACAATTCAATAACATATGTTGCCATATCACCATCCATTAAACTTGATGCAACTCTTCTTGTTAATCATTGTCCAAACCATCATTCACCATTGAGACATCATTTGATGCCATTAATATGCTAAAAAAAAAACAAAAACAAAAAAAAAAAAACAAACAAAAACAAAAACAAAAAAATTACATATATATGCTTTCCTCACATGCTATTGCTTATCCATGTTTCTTTTTGCTTTCAGGCTTTGCTAATGATGAATCTGAATACAATGATGCCATTTCAGGATTGGTATATGGTTCAAATGATCCAAATCCATGTCAAGGAAGATGATGATGATCTTGATTCTTCCCATGAACTAATTGATGTGTTGCAAAATCAAAGGCCAAAGTTGCAGTCAAATGTGATAGACTCATACAAGAAGAAAAAAAAAAGAGAAAAAAGAGAGAATAAGGAAATCTTGCTAACTTAAGTTGAATGATTGTCATCATTTTGAGGTCTAAAGTGAAAAGCTCAAGGATCAAAGGCCATCTTTCATGAGCCTAATTCCCAAACACTTTACCCAAAAGTGTCATCCTTTTGTCAACCAAGTTGAGCCTAAAAGAAAAAGTGAGCCTCTTCTTTCATACCTATCCCAAAACCGGGGAATATAGTTACATGTCTAACCGGGGGCAAGATCATATTGCTAAAAGCCATGAAGAGAAATCTCAAAAGATGAGAAAAGTTCAAAGAGAGCAAAAGCTCAACAAAAAAGAAAAAAAAAAAAATGACAATGCAAATGTCACATGGCAAGGGTTGAAATGGCAAGCTCCTAGCTAAGGCATGTAACTTAAGGGGCATGTTGGGTAATTTTGAGCCTTTAATTCCCATTCTTTTCATAAAATCTTAACCAAACCCCATTACAACCCAAGAAAAAGTCCTTTTGAGAGTTTTGAAGCTTTAGATATCAAAATGATCGCAATCATTAGACTAAGAATAGCAAATCATGATCAAATCCAAGAGCTAATAGATTCAATAAAGAGTGGCCATGTCTGTTTATCCTAAAGACTTCACATTGTTCTTAGTCACCCCTTTGAACCTAAAGAAAAGGTAATCATCTAAATTATGAGAGCCAAGATGATTTTCTTGTGAATTTACCTACATCAT